GAAAGAAAAACATTCACACAGTGAAGGGAATCAGAATTTGTTTTTATATACCTAGAGTTATAAACATTTGTATCAAAATATTTACAATTATAGTATATGAAATACCAATCCATTAAAGAAGAAGCCAAATACAGTACTAGAACAACCCACAAATGTAATGCAAATTACATGAGACATAAATGTCACAGAAAAAAAGTAAAAGACAAGGAAATACATGGTTCATTCCAGTCATATTTTGACTTTTTAACATAACGTGAGTATCTCTTCAGGATATATCTGATATGTAAGTATGTTTCTGCACATAAGACAGACTTCTATAATTGCCTGATAATTAAATTATACTTTAAAAGTTCATCACCCTACAGTTTTTCTGGCCAATTTCTCCACCCCCCAGTCCAGTAATTTGGTGGCCTGCCCTCAATATTCCCTTAACCAGAATGAACACGGAGAAATATACTTGGTAATAGCCCTTTTACATAAATACCAGCAATCATGGCATAACAACTCCCCAAAAAGGAAAGGTATATGAGATATGGGATAAGGAGACAGCAAGAAGAAGGAAAGTGGGCAAGATGTTTCAGATCCTCCTGGGGGTAGATCTTCTTCTCAGGCTGGTAAAGAAAGTGTCTTCCCAAAAAACCCCATTAGGCAGAATCTGAGATGGCTTAAAATAGCTGCTCCAGGGAAGAGCAATGCCTGCTTAACCAGGAATAACATACTACTTACTTCTAAGTCCTATATAGAAATACTCCCGTGGCATCACAGCAGCTCAGTTATCATCTGACTGGATACCGCAAGAGTTTTTGCTTTTTTTTTCCTAAGAAAATATCTGCCCATCACCGACATTTGTATTTATCACATTGGAATTTTCTTATTTGCCTGGGAGTGCAGGCACTCTGTTCTTATCATGACTGAAATACAATATGCTTAATACTTCACTATTAGATAGCACCTTCCACCCAAGGACCTGTTGCTTACTTTTGATTTGTACGTGTGTTTTAATCAGATTCCAGAATTGTCATGCCTCACCTGTGTGTGAAGTGGGATAGGCAGGGACTCTGAGAGGTGACCACTGTAGCCAGTGTCAAAGCTAGAGCTGCCACTAAGCCTAGGATCCTGATCCCCAATATGGATAAGCATACAGAACTTCCATGAAAGTGTATAATTTAGAGGGAGAGTAATAGGATTGTGTCACAAGGAGCTGTGGCCATCTCTCTCTCAGGATATATTTGAAAGAAATATTGACTATATTGAGAGGGGATCCTAAAAACATGACCCTAATGTAGCCCTGTTGCAAGACTGCCTCTTGATCCCACAATTTGTGTGGTGCTTTCCCCACTGAATTGGTCGTTAATGGCTTTATAGAACTTCCGAAGAGCTGCCTTGGCTTTAAGGGAGAGGCTTAGCAAAGTCTGTGGCAGGAGACCCCCATGAGGGACAGCTGTGTAAGATCTGGTCTGGCCTCTGGCCATCCCCCAGGCCTTCCGTTGCACGAAGTTCTCTCTCTTGGTTTAGCTAACCCACCAACTTGGTCTGCTAACTCTATCTCGCTTTCTCCCATTATGTCACAAATGCCACTGAATTCTACAGAGATAAATATCAGTTCTAAAGAGGGAAAATGGCCCCATGGCCAAAGCCCTCTGTGGGTATTTCAGAAGGGCAGGATGGCTTCCAGGCTTAGCATATTCAGCACAAAAACAATATCTGCTCTTGCCGGAACTTGTACCGCTATTTTAACTTGGTGCAGTAGGTCTGAGGACCTCTGTGCATGACCTAGAATTCACCTTCAGAGGCAGGGCCAGTGGTGTGGCAGCTGAGGGCTCCCCAGGCAGTGTGAAAAGTGCAGGAGGCCAAGTTTGGTGGCAAGAGAGAGGCTCTCTGGCCCACATCAAGGGAGCATCAAAGTGCTAGCCAACTACTTTCTCCAAAGGCAGGGTCTTGATAGTAGAGAATCTCTTCAGTAATAGTTTGGGTTTCGGTCTCTTCCACTCTTACTCCACCCTCCCCACCCACCCCCGCTTCTTGGTTTCTCCAGCACAGCAACTTCCACTTCCCTCCCGGATTCAACTACTTCCTCCTCCCCAACCCCCATGTCCCCATTCACTGGTTCAGCCTTATTTCTTTCTCAGGACCAGGTAGAGAATGCCAATGATGAAGCTAAAACAGAAGCAGATCCAGGTCAGGATGAAGGAATAGCCGTGGTGACTGCCTATGAAATTGTTTCTTTTACCATTGGCATAGTGATGAGTGTAGATTGATGCCCCGATCACAATGCACAGCCCTGCCGTGAGAGAGAGAGAAAAGAAGTGTACATTAAAAACGGCTGTTGTTTTAGGGTACAAGGGAGAAGAAGTTTTTATAATTTTTATAAGATCCTATTTCCCTTACTGGCAACGGGAAATGCGATCTGGCTGTTTGGCCCTAAACAGTAGTTCTGTTGATTTACCCTGGACCGAGCTTGATCGGTTGCGTTTGATATATTAGCAGTATTTAGGGCCTTGGCACCTGCATTGGTTTGTGTGGCTGCAAGTGTAAAGTAAAACACAGAACACAGTGTCCACTGCCCAGCTTCCCCTTCTGGACTCCAGTGTGTCCAGGCAAGGCTACTCAGGAACGTGCAGCCAAAGAACAACGGCCTTCTTGCAAACTGGATGTATGTGGGAAGAATGACAATAGTATGATCATAGAAATATTTGCATCTATTGTGGCAGTGTTTTCATCTCTCAGAGGACTCCCACCTTCCCACCTTCGTCAAGAGGTGCTCCTGAAGGAGTGTGCCCCAACCACTTGGTAGCCACCCAGCAGCACTACGTTTAAACAATGAAGCAGATATTACCAAAACCAAGACTCACGGCGACCCTAGAGGACGGAGTAGAACTGCCTCATAGGGTTTCCAAGAAGAGGCTAGTGGCTTCAAATTGCTGACCTTTTGGTTACCACCTGAGCTCTTAACCACTGGGCCACCAGGGCTCCAAGAAGCAGATAAGGGATCTTAATCTGAGCTGCAATCAGAGGTTCTCTAAAAGAGAACAAATAACCAGAGGAGAAAATAGTACAAGGTGGTTTCCATGAGCTATGTGCTAATCGGCTCAAGTTGCCAGGAGTGTCCATTCCATAGTATGAGCTACTTAAAGTGTTTCTATCTAAACAAAGATTCCCTGGGTGGCACAAATGGTTAAGCGCTCAACTACTAGCCAAAGGGTTGGCAGTTCGAAGCCTCCGGAGACAGAGCTGGTGATCCGCTTCGGAAAGGTCAACCAACTGGAGGGCAACTAACACCATCCTAAATGGGAATCTGCCCCTGAGATACTCACAGCACACCAGCATGGTGGCCCCCGAGAGGAAGAATCGGTTTCCCTTCTCCAAGGTGAAGAGCTGGAACACGAAGACCACCAGAGAGATGACAGAGAAGATGATGGACAGGATCATGAAGGCCTGCACCGACTTGAGGGCATCTGTGGGCACAGGGTGAAGGGAGCAAGGCATTAGACAAACCAACGCCCAAGAGGCCGGATGTCTCCCTGACCCCACGAAACGCCAACATTGACTAGTATCTTTATATGTACCTTCATAAGCATATGGCAGGTCTTGATTGCAGTTGCCCTGGGTACAATTTTTCCAGAGACCTACTGATTCTGATCCATTATTTGAAACCACCCAGACCTGAATCCAGAAGGAAACAAAAGGAAAGTTATTTAAAAACTGACGCCTCTGCTTTAAAAAGAAATCAGCTAGTAGCAGCAAGACATCGTATTTAGCCACAGACTTCTTCTAAGCAGCCTATCTCTCGGTGGAAATAAGGCCTGGAGAATGTGCAGCTGAGGAAAAATCACCCAACCTCTCTGGGTTCACATTCATCATCACTTAAAAAAATTAAATAAAAAAAAAAAGTTTTAAGTGGAAGGCATTTGTTCATAGGAGTTTCAATTTTTAAGGTTTTAAGAAACAGAAACTCTGGATAAGGAGTTTGGTTTTAAGTGGGCACAATTCATACACTATATCGAGATTGCTTCATATAAGAGCCTACAAAGGGGAGAGAATAAAGGTGTGGGAAAATGTTCAACAGGAGACAGCTAAAAAACGTGAGCTATACTGAGAAAATAGTGATGAGTCTGAGTGGTCAAAAAGCCGCTTTTTTCTAAAGAAAAGGTTCAAACTTTGAATGTCACAACATGCAAAGAGGGGAGAAATTTCATATTTACTGTGGGGACAGCAGCTGACCCAAGAAAAACAATTATCCTTCTGGAATGGGAAGGGAAGGCAGGGTCATTGTTTACACAAAAACCCAAACCAAACCTATTGCCGTCGAGTTGATTCTGACTCATAGTGACCCTATAGGACAGAGTAAAACTGCCCCCTAGAGTTCCCAAGGAGCGGCTGGTGGATTTGAACTGCTGGCTTTTTGGTTAGCAGCCAAGCTCTTAACCGCTGCGCCAGCAGGGCGCCTGTCTACACGAGGCAGCTGTTAAAATGCACATGACTGGAAAGGCAGTGCCAAGGATGAGCAATCTCCCGCTGTTCAGTCACAGTGTGCCAAGCCCCATGTTACCAGTTTACCAGTCGACTCTGACTCATGGTGACCCCACGTGTGTCAGAGTAGAACTGTGCTCCATAGGGTTTTCAATGGCTGTGATTTTTGGAACTAATTTGTGAGACCTTTTTTCCAAGGCACCTCTGGGTGGATGTGAACCATTAACCTCTCAGTTAGTAGCCAAGTACTTAACCATTTGCACCATCCAGGAAGTCAAAGCCCAAACCCCATCTTAGTGGCTGATGAGAATTGACTCGACGGCAGCTAACAATAATTGACCGATATTCGACACTTTGGCATCCATTAATATAGTTTGGAGTTGTTTCTCAGATTCATTATCCTAAGAAACACAGGGATTGGCATACAGAATGGCTAACTGGAAGAGGTTGCCTGGGTAGGGTTTGGGGACACTGGGGTGCTATCTTATCATATTGTTGTGTGCCATTGAGTGAGCCATTTCTGACTCATAGAGACCCTATAGGACAGGGTAGAACTGCCCAATAGGGTTTCCAAGGAGCAGCTGGTGGATTCGAACTGCTGACCTTTTGGTTAGCAGCCAAGCTCTTAACCACTGTGCCACCAGGGATCCTTGTGGGGTTTGCTTAAGTTAACCTTGCTTATAATCACACCCACCAATGTTTACGAAGCTCTCCTATCTGAACTTTAAATTCATTTATCCTTTCGTTGTAACGGGGATCTAAACAGATTCTGGAGCCATAGTTTGCCTGTCTAGTGATTAGTCGCCTTGGTGTTTATGTCCAAGAAGCTTTCTTGTTTTCTCTAAGCATAGTGAAAGCAAATCGGACACTTTAAACTACCACTAGAGGTCGGAGTAGCCCAAGGTACCGAGAAAAATGAAGCTTGTTGCCACCATGTGTTATTTTCATGTTGTTTTCCTTGAGTGAGTTAACTCAATGGAACTGGATTAATCTTGCAAAACTCTACTTACGTATGCTACTCTCAGCTCAAAACTTGAATTCATCAGCCTGGCAATCAGAGCTGTTCATCCGCTGACTCCAATCTATCCTTCTAATCAAGGTTCCCAGAAGGAAGGGAAGCTCTGCTCCAGTCACGGAGTTGCCCTCCTCATCCCTTGAGCAAAGCTTGTCCTTCCACCTCAGCACCTTTGCTATCACCCCTGCCTGGAATGCACCCCCACGCTCCTTCCACTGCCCTTCTTTCACCCAGAGGAGCCCTACTCAACTACCGGGCCTCTAAGCTTCGCCTCAAGCTCCACCTCCACCAAGAAGCCTCCACTAGAGACAAGGGGACTCACGTATCCTCGACCCTCTGGACACCTGCAGCCTTCACGGAAACTTGGTTTTCTCCTTGATATTTAATTCTCTAAGTGTGAATGTGTGCCATATTTCTTCCCCCAACTAAGCAGTAAGTTCACAAAGGGCAAGGGCTACAGCACTTTCTGTAAATTAATACTTGGATAAATAATTTCTGAACGAATGAACCAACAAAAGAGCATTACTCACATTGGCAATGGTGGAAACAAATAGCATAGCAACAGTGGCAAAGTGGACCACAAAGATACCAGCCAGTAATACCAACATCTTGACTTTTTGTTAACACACGACGGCAAGTGAAGAGAGTTCTGTAAAGGAAAGAGAAAACAAAGGGGAGAGATTCAATAATACAATTCAGCTTTCCCACAAGCATGGGCTATCTGTGACAACCAGAAGTTGCAATGAAAACCATCACAATTACAATTTCATTATAAATTCCTGAAAACACCTTGTTAATCTAGTTCTCCAAGTGCCTAAATGCCTATCCATCTATTTACCTAAATGTGAACATAATTCTGTTTCTTCTCAGGCATACATATATATAATGTGTACACTCATTTCTCTAATATAGCCTATTTCAAATAAAGAACATTTATGACAACTGTTCATATTTTATTTTGTTCGTGTTTTGAGGCCAAAAGTAGGACTTTGGTTTTTAAAAGGCCTTCTTACAGCTGTAATTTCCAGTTCTCTGTGCAACAAAGTCATATAAATTTCCATTTTCGACTAGGGAAGTGCCCCTGCTTCTATCCAACTGCTCACCCAGCAATTCTAATGGAAACGAATGCCTTTCACAGAATAGCAGCTATTACTCAACGCCCATATACTGAATAGGGTACTAATTTGATCCCAACTGTGATATAAAATGTGAAAGCCACTACTTCTATTATTATAATGTTGTTTGGTATTCAATAACTGTTGTTGTTGTTAGGTGCCATCGAGTCGTTTCCAACTCATAGTGACCCTATGTACAACAGAAGGAACCCTACCCGTTTCTGCCCCATCCTCACAATCATTGCTATGTTGGAGCCCATTGTTGTCGCCACTGTGTCAGTGTATCTCATTGAGGGTCTTTCTCTTTTTCACTGACCCTCTACTTTACCAAGCATGATGTCATCTAGTACTGCTGTAACAGAAATACCACAAGTGGATGGCTTTAACAAAGAGAGATTTATTCTCTCACACTCTAGGAGGCTAGAAGTTGGAATTCTCAGGGCACCAGCTCCAGGAGAAGGCTTTGTCTGTTTGTCAGCTCTGGGGGGAGGGTCCTTGTCATCAGTCTTCCCCTCATCAAGGAGCTTCTCCATACAGGAACCCCACGTCCAAAGGATGTGCTCTGCTCCTGGCACTGCTTTCTTGGTAGTATGAGGTCCCCACTGTCTCTCTGCTTGCTTCTCTCTTTCATATCTCAAAGGAGATGGGCTTAAGACATAACCTGATCCCATGTCATTAACATCATAGAGATAAGATTTACAACACATAGGAAAATCACATCAGATGACAAAATGGTAGATAATCACATAATACTGGGTATCATGGCCTAGCCAAGTTGACAGATATTTTTGGCGGACACAATTCAGTCCATAACGATGTCTTTCTTCAGGGGCTGGTTCCTCCTGATAACCTGTCCAAAGTACATGAGACAAAGTCTTGCCATCCTCATTTCTAAGGAGCATTCTGGCTGTACTTTTTCCAAGACAGATTCGTTCCTTCCTCCGGCAGTCCACGGTGTATTCAATGTTCATGCCAACACCATAATTCAAAGGCATCAATTCGTCATCCATCTTTTTTATTCCTTGTCCGGCTCTCATATGCATATGAGGTGATTGAAAATACCATGGCTTGAGTCAGGTGCACCTTAGTCCTCAAAGCAACATCTTTACTTTTTAACACTTTAAAGAGATCTTTTGCAGCAAATTTGCCCAATGCAATACATCGTTTGATTTCTCGACTGCTGCTTCCATGAGTGTTGATTGTGGATCCAAGTAAAATGAAATCTTTGACAACTTCAGTATTTTATGAGTTTATCATGATGTTGCTTGTTGGTCCAGTTATGAGGATTTCTGTTTTCTTTATGTTAAGGTGTAACCTATACTGAAGGCGGTAGTCTTTGATCTTCATCAGTAAGTGCTTCAAGTCCTCTTCACTTTCAGCAAGCAAGGTTGGGTCATCTGCACATCGCAAGTTGTTAATGAGTCTTCCTCCAATCCCAATGCCATGTTCTTCTTCATATAATCCAGCTTCTCAGATTATTTGCTCAGCAAACAAATTGAATAAATATGGTAAAAGGATACAACCCTGATGCACACCTTTCCTGCTTTTCAACCATGCAGTATCCCCTTCTTCTGTTCAAATGACTGCCTCTTGGTCTATGTACAGGTTACTCATAAGCACAATTAAGTGTTCTGGAATTTCCATTCTTCCCAATGTTATCCATAATTTGTTACGATCTACACAGTCAAATGCCTTTGCATAGTTGGTAAACACAGGTAAACATCTTTCTGGTAGTCTCTGTTTTCAGCCAAGATCCATCTGACATCAGCAATGATATCCCTCATTCCACGTCCTTTTCTGAATCTGACTTGATATTACAGCTTAATGATCTGATCACCTACTGATGGAACATTTCAGACTTGCATTACACACCTGAGCCTTCAAGAAGGGACTCTACTATGGGTCTGGGACACAGTTTTGTGTTTCCCGTGGCTCAGTATGATAATTCTAGGGACTTTAGATATGTGCAGCTTGAGATATCACCACAGGTGCCTTCTACCTGTGCATGACATTTACACAAATGCCAGTCCTTCAGGACTCAGTACAAAAGATGGGCAAATGCATCAATCACCAGGCGGGGGGATTGGGAACTGACAGAGATTAAGAATGTGATGAACAAAAGCATCCAGGCACAATCCCAGCAGAGCAGGGAGCCCATTGATCATAAAACCGAGGCAATAAGGAAGACTAGTACCAGTTGCTGTTGAGTCAATTTCGACTCGTGGTGACCCCATATGTTGCAAAGGAGAACTGTACTTTGTAAGGTTTTCAATGCTGTGAACTTTCAGAAGCAGATTGCCAGACCTTTCTTCCAAGGCACCTCTGGGTGGGTTTGGCCCACTGACCTTTAGGCTAGTAGTCAAGAGCTTCACCGTTTGCGCCACCTAGGGACTTGAAAGGAGGCGACAAGGATGCACAACTGGGGAGTGAGCTCTGATTTGTGGGCATTGCGGGAGGAGTATTTGTCATGCCTCAAACACTTAGGATGCAGTGCCGGCTCAAAGGAAGGGGCTTATGAGGGTTTTTCACACCCTGGGCAGGGTGTATGTGCAGATGGCCCCACGTAGGGAGGGGATGGCTGTGCATGTCTTAAAATTGCACCACTTCTCTCTCTCACTCTAATTGAAGCTTTGAGTGAGCTGAGCCACTTTCGTGCTGTACCAGGGATTTATTGGAGAGCACCGATACTATCGTTCCGACACTTCAGGTGCCTTTTATCTCCTCTCGCTTTCCTCTTCAGGCACCCAAAATCTAGAATGATCTAACGTACACTAGGGCGCCTAGCTTTACAGGCAAGGAGTGAGAGGCAGAGACTGGCTTCCACTGTCCACCCTGACCTGCTCCAACAACCCCTGCCCTCCTTCCCAAGCTGGGCACTTCCCTCCCATCTAGGCTAATTGTTAGGAATGTGGCCAATTTCCCTGTGAATAACGACAGTGTGGAAGTTTATCCTGCTACCTCAGGGAGAGCTTGGAGCTTTCATGCCCGCCATTACTCATCTCCCCCACACATTCAAATTCGGCTTTGCCTTTCTCAGGTTCTTGCACACCTCCACAACTTCCTGCGTGACTTTAATGCACCATGAAAGAGGTTTTTGAACCAGACAGAGACTGAGTTAGAATCGTTTGAAGTTATTGGACCCATTGGTCTCAGTTTCCTCGGATATGAAGTGAGGATTGCCATGCCAACTGTACCGGGGCGTGTGAGGGTTAAACTGGATCACATATGTAGAACACCAAGCCCGGTGTCTGCACGTGGCAGAGACTGATAATGGGGTTGCTTTGGTTGTAGTTATTATTATTACTATCATTATTAAAAGAAGCTGAGTAGCTGTTGCTAACCCAACCCCAGGCTGCCCTAAGTTAATCACCAACCTGCCCCATGTTAAGTGCAAGTAATAAGATACCTGCTATCTAATCCACAAGGCAGTGTACGTAAAATCATTTTGGTCCTCTTAGAAATTGTCATTATGCCTAGTCCTTGCCCTTTGAGTCAGGAGACCACTAGGGACACGTCCTCAGGAAGGGCCAGGAGAAAGCTCACTTTTCTCAGCCCTCTCTTTGGCCATCCCCCGCACCCCTGGACGTCCCCAAGATTCACACCATCTCCTCCGAAAGGACTAGGCTGATTGCAGGGAGATTGCAAATATTATATAATGAGTTCTTTTGTTTAATCCTCCTTGGGCTCTTTAAATGACTTTTTTACTCCTTTTGCTTCTAATTTACAAACATCCTCCTCCCAATACTGGGAAGTGGTTGAGGGGTCAAGAATGGCACATAACACACCAAGTGAGGCCTTTTAAATGAGGTCACAGAAAACATTGTGCGTTTCTTCTCTTACTGGCTTTTAGGAACTCGGCAGCATTTCCCGTCTCTCTGGGTTGCTATGTGCTCCTCTAAGGTCGAGTCTAAGTTCCTTTTGCCCCTGCTCACACTCTCAATCTTGATGAATTGGACATCATTATGGATTGAATTGTGTCCCCCCAAAACGTATGTTGTGAATCCTAACCTTTATGCCTGTGGTTATCATTCCATTTGGGAATGGCTACCTTTGTCATGTTAATGAGGCAGGATTAGTGTAGGGTGTGTTTTGAGTCAATCTCTTACAAAATATAAAAAAAGCAGTGCAGATTAGGACAAGCTAGCAAGCCAAGATGGGGGAAGAGAGATGCCAAGCCACATGAAGATAGCCAAGAAACAGAAGTTCAAAGAAACAAGGACCTTCCTCCAGAGCCGACAAAGAGAGAAAGCCCTCCCCTAAAGCCAGCACCCTGGATTCAAACTTCTAGCCTCTTAAACTGTGAGGAAATAAACGTCTGTTTGTTAAAGCCACCCATGTGTGGTAGTTCTGTTATAGCGGCAATAGATAACTAGGACAGACTTGGTCGTGTTCTAAATCTCCTCCTCCCACTGCGTCTCCACCTTGGCTCATCCACCACATCTGCAGGGCAGGTGAGTTCCTGGTCACTGGATCTCACTGCTGATCTAAACCACAGCCCCACCTGACCATTAGTCCCCTGGGCGTTGCAGGCTACAGGAGTGAGTGGAGGAATGCCGGCAAGCAGTGACTCTCTTTCATCTTAGATTTCTGTGATTGGGCCATGTCTCTTTTCACAAAAGGAGCAAAATGTCTTGGCTTAGCAAGTGTTCTTAGTGTTCAGATGTATAGACTCCCAGAACATACAATTCTCTTTCTGCTTTTGGCTGCTATATCCAGTCAGAGGTAGGGGCTGCTTAGCTGGAGTTATAGCATAATGCATATAATCGGCCATCTTTTCATTGCCCCAGATTTGTCAGATTTTATTAGTATCCTTCATTGTCAGCTTAGAGGGGCTTCTGTTATTTTCAGTGGCCTTCCCCAAGGCATTCTGAAACCAAATAAACTATCTTTTTTAGATTTCTGCACTGGATTATCCCTAGTTGCCCACTCTGTATGCTAGAGACTTCTCAGCAGAGAAATCCTCAAGCTGGAGGGAGGCAATCCTTGAGGTCTTTATGGACAACCATTAGTGGTACTGAATGGGTGAATGTCTGGGAGATGGATCAGAACAGCAGAGTATGGATATAAATAACAGGCGATCCCATGCTCTTGAGACTTCCTCCCATGCATTATTTTCAATGTCATTTCGGGGGAGGCTCACTCCCTGCACTGGCTGGTCTTGCTTCATCCAAAGGCCCTGAAAAGAGATTATTTCTGAGCATCTCAGTTCACTGGAACTATCGACTGCTGGAACTTTCTTTCTTTGCA